TCTCTCTCTCTCTCTCTCTCTCTCTGTGTCTCTGTCTCTCTCTGTGTCTCTGTCTCTCTCTGTCTCTGTCTCTGTCTCTGTCTCTCTCTCTCTCTCTCTCTCTCTCTCTCTCTCTCTCTCTCTCTCTCTACAAAATTGTATATTTTTCCAGATCTAAAAAGTTATAATGTCAAGGTAATACTATAGTAAGCAATAACAGTTCAGTTAAATAGGCAGTAAGTGAGATGCTTTAGAAGTTTAGATTTTGCTATATTATCTACATTGTATGGAAAATTTGAAGAGTATATAAATGATCAGAGTAAGCACACAAAACTATATTTGTTTATACATCAGGTTATTATGTGAAGAGAAACAATGACGAATATCAAGATTTGATATTTTTTCCTAATTCTACAAATATTTGAAACAAATACCGTAGAAAGTTTTCAATTTATGCATTAGCAGATGAACTCCTTTTCATTACTCCATTAATGTTACCCATGCCATTGTAGAAGTTCATTTGGAACAATGTAATTTAAAGAATTGCATATTATGTACCTTTGTTTCTTGATCATTATTGTCTCTGTTAATATATTTATTGTCTTTTCTGTTCCTACAGTTTTCCTTCAATATGTTTGGGGAGCCTTTGCAGCCCCGTCCTTTCAACACCCAATACCGATGCTATTCGGTATCCATGTTCCCTGGCGCTGACAAACAATCAGTTGAAAATGGCGGCAAAAGTAAGATAATTCTTATCTTATTTTGTGACGAGTTTTCATTGATGCATTAAACTGATATAGATGAATATGTCATAGTTTATTTTTCTGTAGTTCTTGTAAATTGGTTTCTGTTATACACACCATAATTAATATCTGGTATGAATGTATTTGTCCATCCAGGTTTCCATTATTTATATTTTGCCTTTCATTACAGTTATAATGCCACCTTCAGCTCTGGATGTTTTGACACGTCTTAACATTGTTTACCCAATGTTATTCAAGTTAACCAACCGACGTGCCAATAGAAATACACATTGCGGTGTTTTAGAATTTGTAGCTGATGAAGGAAAGGTTTATATTCCTTATTGGGTAAGTTCTATGTTATTAATCAGTAAATCTGTTCTGAAAGAAATACATGAATAGTAACATCATGTGAATCTAAAAATAGTTGCATAGTTTTATTTATTTACTTGCATTAAAAGTGAATATTTAAAGGTTTCCACTTTGCTTTAGATATATAAAGTAATTGTTTTGGCCGAAATAACTTGATGCTTTCAAACCTTTGTATTGCTGTGTCATATCAAAATATACTAGCATTCTCACCTTGGCTTTTGGTTCCATATACAGATGATGAGAAATCTGCTGCTGGATGAGGGGGATCTTATTCACATCGAGTCTGTGTCACTCCCTGTTGCTACGTTCTCCAAGTTCGAACCTCAGAATGTGGAGTTCCTTGATATCACTAATCCCAAAGCTGTTTTGGAAAATGCGCTTCGAAACTTTGCTTGTCTAACAACTGACGATGTTATTGCCATTAATTACAATGATAGAATATATGAAATGCGAGTCCTAGAGGTCAAGCCTGGGAGTGCTGTTAGCATCATTGAATGTGATATGAATGTGGAGTTTGCTGCCCCAGTGGGCTACCAGGAGCCAGAGAGAATGGACAGTGCTGCAGCCTTACCAGAGGATACAGAAGAGGAGATGCTACCAGAACCCACAGGCTTCTACTCTTTCCAAGGCTCAGGAAACAGACTAGATGGGAAAAAGAAGAATTTGCAACTTCCTCAAGAAGAACTTCTTAAAAAATTGCCCCGTCAGCGTGGGATTCCAGATTATGATTATGAAATAGGTTTTATTAAATTCTGGAGAAAGTTACCGAAAGTGAACAATACTGAAAATAAACCAGAAGAGCCTGATGAATTTGAATCTTTTGCTGGAGAGGGTACATCTCTGCGACAAGCAAAGTCTAGAAAGTAAGCATTTTTTTTATTTATATTTATTCCTACTGCTAATTTTAACAGATATTCTCCAAAGAATCAGTTTTGTAAGTCAAATTTGTATACCTGCAGATATTTTTTGAACCAGTGAAATGAAAAATAAATTGAATGTCAAAACTATATCCTTTTTCCTTCAGACCAATCAGTTATGAAGTCACATATACTTAGTGATAACCCTGCACAAAATTTTGGAAATAGATACAATAAAGCTTTTATAATGGTTCATGTAGAAATAAAGTGTTTATGTGTACATGCGATTTTGATTTACTTTATTGTTAATGAGGTGAACTTTTTACTTACTAAAGTTCTTTACACATATTTGTTATTGATATGTTATTGTTTATCATAAAAAAGGAAGAGAGATCTAAGGAGTGTTTTACTTACGAAAATTGTGTATCATTAATACAACCTGGCTGGATATGAAAAGAGCCTGTCCTGTGATCCTACTTATATTATCAATATAAGTTGAATATTCAAGATTTTTTAAAAAGAATTTATCAGAATTCATCAAGTAGTAACTATCTTAACGTGTTATGATATGGCTGAACAGGGTTTTTGGGTAATGAAGAATCTGGAATTACATGATACAGTATAATCATATCTAAGACTTTAGACAATGTTGTTCATGAAGGAACATGAATTTTGTATTGAAATCCAAGTTGAAAAGAAAAACACTTTTATAAAGTAAATGTTATGCATCTTCAAATACCTACTCACAGACAATATCAGCATATTGAAAGGCTTTGTTATATGCTTTAAAATCAGGTTTTTTCTTGTTGCCGACTTCATTTTGTGAAATTCATAATTACTATACTTTAAATAAGCAAAGACAGGAAAATTTACTCTATATACGAACCACAACTAGTTTTAAAGGGATTATTTAAATACCAAAGCTCTGAAAAATCAACAAATGTCTAGCTAACCATAATGCAGGATAGTAAATGTTTCGATTTTTATCAATATTTTATTTAGATCACGTTGACAAAATATATATATATATATATTATAATTAATTACATATATGCAAATATCCTAGTATTTCATCTGGAAAATAGCATTCAAAGGATCAAAATGATGTGACAATGAATAAATATCTATGTTGGTTGAAACTAATGAAAGCAGTGATCCATTGATGTGATGTCAGGATATTGTTTAAATACTACTTGGTTTTACCTGTCAACAAACATCTCCACATAAAGCATCAAGGATGAACAGAATGTACAAATATATTATTAAATGTCAATCAAGTATTTTCACAGCTACCTTTTACTCTTTCCAGTTACAGAAATTTAAAGTTTTGGTGGTAATAATAATGTGCCAATAGATTTTACATAATCAGCCACATTCATACCACCCACAAACATTTAATTCATGTAACCAAATATTTTCCTTGTGATTCTTCACAAGCTAGCATAACTCTTGCAAAGTAATACCTGAGACACTAAATTTCACAGAAACCATTGTATCACTCAAGCTTTAAAGATAGTAGCACCAGTCTTGTTATCTTACTAAGTATTTGGCCCCTCGGTAGCACCATTGGATACTTGACACTTGTACCTTAGTTAGAAATGCATAATATCCAGCTGCTATGCAACAAGAATGGACAAAGACATTCCCATACATATAAAAATATAGAGAAAATACTGACATAAGTTCTTTAATTTAAAATTGTCAGATAATTCATACCGGAAATCACATACTAGCTTATTCAATTTCTTCTGAACAAGAAATGTAAAATAAGTGTAAATGCAGTGCTTCTCATAACTAGTGCCCTAAGTTTGTCAATCTGATGTAGGAATTAATCAGTTATATCAACTAGCTGCTGTCATTGGTCTTGAAATTTCACATTCTTTCACTTAGCTGCTGTCATTGGTCTCGAAACTACCAATTTGTTTAAAGTATTTGGAAGATAAAACCACATATTCTAATTTGATAAGCATGAAGGGATAGCGACGCACTCAGTGCTGTAACCACAAGGCAGAGAGCAGCGCGAGAACCACACCAGGTAGAGCAGCTAAAGTTGATCCTCCCGCAGTAGTTGTTTCAATATAATCAGTTGTTTTACCAACAGTAGGTGTTCCAGGATACATGGTGCTTGCACCCTTGCAATGGTCTTGATTAGCTCCAATACAAGCTGCATATGCCATGGCGTGGGCAATGTAGTTCTGCTCGTGAAGAGTGTGGAAAAGGTGAGCCATGGGACCTGTTGGAAGTGTTTTCATCAGTATTAGCAACGAACTCAAAATGGACGATTACTTGTACATTTCTATTATTTCAGATGTATAATTTCAGTAGTTACTATTCTTTTCAAGTCTAGCACATCTGTTTGTTACAACCCTAAACATTTACTATTTTTCTACTGGACAACCTCTTAAAAGTTGGAAAATGTCACCCTCACAATAAAGGCCTATTATAAATTTTACCAACTTTCCGTAGGTACTGAACACAGCAATATTTTCGAAATGTATAAAGTTTTTTTTTCTTATAAACCATATACATACCGTTAGCATAAATAGCAACATCATCGCCACCGTGTGTCTCTGAGTTCCTGGGTACGGCCGCCAGCTGAGTGTAGTCCCATCCTGTGGCCACTTCCTGTGTGATGTTCCAGCGGGAGACGAGATGCTGCTCGTTCTCATCCTCCTTGACGGTGTAGTTGTACCCGGGGCCGTTCGCGTACATGAGCGTGGTGTAGGGCAGGCCGTCGTCACCCAGAGCGGCGAGACCTGAACGGGTGGAAAGTGTATCTTAGCACTAAAGTTTTTTTTCTGTCAGATTTTATGTATAGAAATTCAAATAGTGATATGCATGTCTGACTCTGTCTCTCTCTAACTCAATCACTCTCTCACTCTCTCACTCTGTGTGTGTGTGTGTGTGTGTGTGTGTGTGTGTGTGTGTGTGTGTGTGTTGTGGTGTGTGTGTGTGTGTGTGTGTGTGTGTGTGTGTGTGTGGTGTGTGTGTGTGTGTGTGTGTGTGTGTGTGTGTGTGTGTGTGTGTGTGTGTGTGTGTGTGTGTGTGTGTGTGTGTGTGTGTGTGTGTGTGTGTGTGTGTGTGTTGTGTGTGTGTTGTATGCATATCTCTGTGTGTGTGTGAGTGTGTATGCATATCAGTGTGTGTGAGTTTGTATGCATATCTGTGTGTGTGTGTGTGTGTGTGTGTGTAGTGTGTGTGTGTGTGTGTGTGTGTGTGTGTGTGTGTGTGTGTGTGTGTGTGGTGTGTGTGTGTGTGTGTGAGAGAGGAGTGTGTGTGTGTGTGTGGTATGTGAATGTGTGTAAATTTACGAGCATATACATTCACACAACTTAAGCGCAGTTATAAGTATGTCTGCGATCCTTACAATAATTTCCTGTCCACGACTGGGATAGCCACTGATAGACATGGTGTGAGCGTGGTCGGCGGTGACAACGATGAGCGTATCCTGTAGGAAGGTTATATAAATTAGGACAGACAATTTCCCTTAGCTTCCCCCATCCCCTAAGGAGACCTCCCCTCCTCCCCCTCTAGTTCATTCATTCAGCTCATAGCTGCAGTAAAATGGCCAACAGAATTCGCTCTAAATTCTCCCAGTGGATAATACTTCACTTACCTCTTCACTGGTGAGGTTCAAGGCCTTTTCAATAGCTTCGTCCATCGCTACGGCCTCGTCAAGGGCGCGGTGAGCTAGAGTGTCGTGTGGGCGTGGTCAATTCGGCCTCCCTCAACCTGCAAGGGAGGGGCTTATGATTAAACGACTAATCACAACACTAGCATCATTATAATATACTTTTATTATGCATGGAGTTAGTGAGCAAGCTTTCCTCATTCTATTCGATCTCTAGTCTGCCTCAACAGCAAGGAAAAGTATATTCTTCTAACGTATAGGAGGTTAGTGAGCAAGCTTTCATCATTCTACTCGATCGCTAGTCTGCCTCACCAGCAAGAAGAAGCCGTTGTCTCCAGCTGAGAGGATCTCGATCGCCTTCTCGGTCATCTCGGCCAGCGTCGGACGTCCAGGTTCAGGCTCTTCTTCTCGTGCTCGTAGGGGACGTGGCCGTTGGAAAATAGGGCTGTGCGGGCGGAAGAAGACATTGAAGAACGTTATATACTGTACTGTAGTGTGTGTGTGTGTGTGTGTGTGTGTGTGTGTGTGTGTGTGTGTGTGTGTGTGTGTGTGTGTGTGTGTGTGTGTGTGTGTGTGTGTGTGTGTGTGGTGTGTGTGTGTGTGGTGTTTTAGAAATTATAGTGCAGTACTATGTGGATGGAAGAAAAACATGAAAGGATATTATTTGCAGAAGCGACGCGATTGGTCGTATTCTGTCATCGGGGTGGAATTCCGCCTGGCTTTTCATCATGGAAATAATATGTGTGAATAAGAGGCTTACTTATTTGGTTTGAGTAAAGCTTTGGTTATTGGTTACTGACTTAGGAGGTATGTTTTGTGTGTGTGTGTGTGTGGGGGGGGGTGATATTATCCCAAATAACTTAATAAACGGAACAACTATTTATGCAGTCAAAGCGAACTAATTGTCGATATCTTACCAAAGAGATATTCAGTGTCCGAAGTGTCGACATCATTCAGTTCTGTTTTGGACCGGACGAAGTGGTGCTTGACTCCACTCTGTTGCTTTCCTTCCAGCCAGCTCTTGACCAGGTCTCGCCCATCCTTCCTTCTGCAGCTGGCCCACTGGTCGTCCAAGGGGTCATTGGGTCTGTCCGTAGCGTTGGCGACGAAGTTCTGGTAACCGCCACCCATGATCACCTAAAAAGATCATAATTTACAATCTACCGTACACCAAGTAGCGTAATTTAAACACGCGAATGCATATAAATACAAACGAATAGCTAATGATTATAAAAATACCACGAAAAACGGAAATTCGGCCCTTCAAAGCAGGTGGCACGTCCTTACGTTCAGGGAATTGCCGGCTCATCTTCGATCAGCTGTCTCGCGATGTCCTTCAGGTCGGGGCATTTTTGCATATCCTCAGCCGAAATAGCGCCGTCACACTCCCAGTCTCTGTTCGCGACGTGGGCATAGGTGGAGGCTGGCGTGGCATGGGTCACCTGGTAGAAGTCAAACACCTGTCGACAAAATTCGGCATTCAGTTCTGTGCAGCGGCATATAGGTGTATTTTCCCGATTTGTGGTATACCTACAGTGAGGATTGCTTTCCTAGGTTATTATTTCGGCGAGGAATACCTCTCTAAGTTATCCCGGTGAGAAATATTTATCTAGGCTACAATCCTGGTGAGGAATACTTATCTAGGCTATTATCCCGGAGGAGTACTTATCTGTTATTAGTTCTATTTAACCCAAAAACAGGCTCAGGCGACACTCAAATAAAAAGATCACGGGAGTTCAGAAGACGAAATGTACCAAAATATTTAACGAAAAACACGTCACAATCGAAATGGTACATACCTGACCTCTTGCCGGCATCTTGGGCCCACTTGGCAATGGAATACACCTTATTGTTTTCGAAACATAGTCTGGCAGTCATTGTATTTGATGGAGGCGTCGAAGCCAATGGTCTTGTAGTTCGTCTTGACTCCGGTTAGATAAGCTGTGCCAGTCCCAGCGCTGTCTGGAACTTGCTTGTCGACGTTGTATGTCTGGAAAACATTGGCAACATAAGATGATTGTTGCAATGGCGGCTTATTGTGGTTCTTCTATAATGGTATGCGTTGAGCTGTGGAGCCTTTGTCACTCGCAAGGGTTGGGGTGGGGAGCTTAGCCACGTGTTGGTACCCCCCCTTACCCTTCAATCAGTGGGACGCAGTTACAATACATATACAATATGTCTAGCTATGTGGAGACATAACAGTAATTACGACCCCCTTCTCTGTATAACAGTCAAAAGTATACACTTTGGGGGCGGGAGGCAGTTGCACCCCCTCAGGGTCTGGCTTGCCCCCCCCCCCACTAAGGGCAACCATTTTACTTTTTCTTTAGTATATTATACTTATATAGCTCAGGTTTTTGCTTAAAATGCCCCTAGAATGACCCTTATTCTACACTGTTGTTGGTTTCGCTCGCCAAACCACCTATGCCCCCCTAAGAAGCCTAAATGACGCCGATGACAGTATTTAGATAAGCTCTCCATCCCGGTCTGTACGTCTCTCTCTCTCTCTCTCTCTCTCTCTCTCTCTCTCTCTCTCTCTCTCTCTCTCTCTCTCTCTCTCTCTCTCTCCACTCACACACACACACGCCCACACACACACACGCCACACACACACACGCCCACACACACACACGCCCACACACACACACACACGCCCACACACACACACACACAACGCACACACACACACACACACGCACACACACACACACACTATATATATAATATATAATATATATATATATATGAAAAAAAAACATCAATTATATTAAAAGATGGAGTGTACTTTGTTTCGTTGCTGAATGAATAAATATGAGGTGACCTTGGAGAATCGCTTGGTCCCTGATGCTTACTTTTCTTAAACAAAAATGGAATCTCATAATTTTAAACAGTCCTGATTGTTTAGAAACAATAAATTAAAATCAAACATCATTACCTTTGCTGATCATCGTCAGTCATTTTGTATCAGCAACAATACAGTAACAGTAATTAAGGCAACGATAACATAACACCAGCGACATAACAACAAAATCACGTGCGTTAGGTTTCTCCTGGCAACAATACTACTCAAGCCCGCCGGACTTTGTTGTGTTAAATGAGTGCTTGATTTAACCCCCAAAATAAACGCTTGCAGAGACACCCGCTTCCAATGACCTTCAGAACCCGCGGACACGTGTTGTAGCTCCGAATGGGATTTTGTAGCATATTTCCTGTGTAATTATACGTAAGTAAAGTACTAAACAGAGGTAAAGCACTTTTTAAAAGTTGTAAATCAACATAGCAGAGTATCTCATGATTATCCTTGATAGCGTGATCTATTTGAATAAAAGTAAAATGAAGTAAAATGCAAGTATATATTTCCTAGTAAATCAAGGAAGAAATTTGTCTTGAAATTAAGCGCGAAAGGATTGAAGAGCCTAATGGCATCACAGTCAGAGTCAACAATAAAACGCATTTCCATAACATTTGTTGTATGATGAAGCAGTCTCTCGGTTTCGTGTTCATAATAAGAATCCCTGGCGTCTATCCTCAGCTGAAAGTGCGATTTGCCGTGTTGGGGAATTCGTTAAATTACTCTTTATCATATTAAGAGCTAGAGTTATTATTAAGAAAAGCAAACTAATCATAAGGCGCGGCGTAACCTAGAGTCCAACCGGAGTGACGCCCCCCTTAACTCGCGGAAGTAATTCGCTTTACTACTGATTGGCCTGATTCTTGACGGCCTGTGGTTCTGCCTCGGACAACCAGCCAGGCAATTCGCCACTCGAGTTGGCTAGTTCATTTAAATTCCACAGCCACTTAGCCATCCGCCTGCCCTTCGTTAACCAATAAGCTTAGCGTACTCTCCCATCTTTAACAACTGGTGCTTGAACCGCAATACCATTCTGTTGTTCCCCGTAATGAGTATCTGTCTCGTAAGAATAGTAACAAAGTTGCCTAACTGGCGAGACATCATCCCTACCCTATGGCGGACAAGGTCAGACGCTTCATCATCATTTAAGACCCGCGGCATCACGACCAAGTTCTTCGTTGGCGACGACTTCCTTCCAAGTCGACACCGAAATTAAATCTCGTTGCGTTTAACTTACGAATTAAGGGAGAATATCTTAGATAACTAAACCATCGGTGTCCATATTAACGGAGAGTATCTGTCGTAATCTTTCACCCAGTCAAAATTACGTCGTGTTATCTATATCGATGGAATAAGCAGGGATTTAATAAAATGATTACGGTGCCTTGGACAGTGACCGAACCCATTTTGAATGTAAAAAAATGTCCAATAAGCTATATGACTGAAAGAGCGTAGAAAGAATTACTAAAGAGTAGCCCCACATCTAAGAACAGATATACATGTATATAAACCATCTGTTTCTTTGTTTTGCGTGTCATATAGAATCCGAAAGGAATATTCAAACAGGCAAGCTGACAATGTTTTTAAGCCGCATGTCATTCTCAAAAGAATAAACTTAGTTAAATATTACATAAGTTACGATAGTCGTATTATTAGCTGAAAATACAGAAACTCTGTTGTGTTAGAAATTCCCAACAGGCCATCTTCCTCGGACAACCTAAAATCTATGCAAACGTTAAATAACTTTAAACCGAGGAACTAAACGAAAGTAGAAACGCGCGTTGCGTAAGGCGAGAGATTTAGTGAGAGTCCGTGAACTAACCCTGAACTTGCTCTCTCTCCCTTACCCCCACCCCCACCCCCACACTCCTCCCTTCCTCTGCCCCTACCCTCCCCCACTCCTCCCTTCCTCTGCCCCTACCCCACCCCCCTCTCCTCCCCCTGCCGCACTCACCCTCCTCAGCCCCACTCCTCCCCCACTCCTGCCCCACCCCACCCCACTCACTCTTCTCTCCTGTTCCCTATTCGTCTGCCATTACAAGTTTTTTGCGTGACTTAATACTCGCTTTCTTTATTTTTACGGTTAGCTGTTTCTCTTGCCGTTTTCTTGGGCGTTGCAAAGAAGTTTGAATGAGCGAGTATTACTGACGGAAATAACTATGGTTCCTTCTTGATGCGTGAGTTTGTTATGCACAGAAGAAAGTCGTAGGATATTATTGTATTTCGAAATAAAATGCGAACGTATATTTGCAGGATAAACTGGTGTACAGTAGTGTTATACCGTAATTTTGATTAAGTGATGCCGGTACTTTTGAAATGTGCAAATTCTCCCTCTGAACTGAGAAAGTAGGCCTATAAACTTTTTTGTTCTCAACACATGCTGTGCATACATACATGCATATGAGTCTATATATATATATATATATTATATATATATATATATATTATATATATATATATATAATATATATACACACACACATTGATATATGTATATATATATATATATATATATATATATATATATATATATATGTGTGTGTTGTGTGTTGTGTGTGTGTGTGTGTGTGTGTGTGTGTGGTGTGTGTTTGTGTGGTTGTGTGTGTGCGTGTATGTGTGCGTTGTGTGTCTGTGTGTGTGTATATATATTATATACACACACACACACACACACACACACACACACACCACACACACACAACACACACACACACACACACACACACACACACACGTGTTTGTCTACGTTAATAACACCTGAAACCCACTCCCTTATCGCGTTGATAATCGGTAAGTGGCGGTAATCTGCGGGGCTTTACCGAGACTCAATCAGTTTCTCCGCTATCTCCCGTTGATGAGTCTCGAGCGAAAACACAGTCGCGGGAACGGCCGTTTTTTCACGGTCAGGTCGCGACAACGAATTGCTGTGTAAGTTACCTTTGATCTTCATGTTTATGAGTAAGTGTTATCATCGGGCTGGGATAAGAAGACGTGTATAAATAAATAAGGTAGAGCAGTATTTTTTCTTATGCCTTGGAAATGATAAAGCAATCGACACACCTTTTTCTTTTTCTTTTTGTTTCTTTTTTGTTTACTGTTGTTTGTGGCGAATCTCGGCTAAATGGAAATTTCCTAGAAATCACGTGACACTTACTAAACACATACATAACACTTGAATTGAGTATAAGATATGGCTACTTCTAATGCGTTGATATGGATATAGTGTTCAAATTCGCTATTACAATATTATTTAGCTACATGACCTATTCTGATCCTAAAGACTAAACGCGGGTCTCATAGGATTAATTCCGGGTTAGGTTCTCAAGATGATAAAGAGATCCGATTTGTTTGAGAATGGTTTGTATATAACGAATAAAATGCCTGTCTGAGAAACCTTATTACTATCATTATTATTATCACCATCATTATTGTTATTATTATTATTATTAATTATTATATTATTATATTATCATCATCATTACTATTATGATTCATTGTCATTATTATTATTATTATTATTATTATTACTATTATTATTATAATCATAATTATTATCATCATTATGATCATTATGTAATTGAAAAAGCGATATACACTCGAGTCGTTATGACCGAATTACTGAAGACCATCAAATACCCTGCAATTGTACATTTCCATAATCCCACATTAAGAAAAGAAGAGAAATCAATGACAACAACAAAAACTACGGTGTATTTACGCTCAACAATCATATCAGTAAATCAATGCTCATATCAAAGCTTCTTTCGGCGCCATTTTGATCGCCTCTCCTGTAATCAGCTGTTTCGGTAATCACACTTTTTTTTTTTTTAGCCTTCACTTGACCCCTAAATGTTACAACGCCCAATGAGAACTTCGCGATAAAACGCTTGAGACTGAATATTGCAACTTGAGATATCCATTATTGTTGTAAATGACTTTTAAAATTATGCTTTCTTGCTTTCCGACGATAACGTATCTTACACATTAGGTAAAGTGCTTCGATATAGTTCTTTATATCTTGTTCACTTTTTCATATATCGAGTACTTTATTCTTTACAACTAAAGCAAGT